TCACAACATAGGAAGGTGCATAGTGTAGAAGGTTGGTGAAACGAGTAGTGTACTCAGTCACCCTGTCCTTTCCCATCTTGATGTTGTGGAACTCCTCGACTTTGGCCTCCATGATACCCTTGGGAATGTGATACTCAGTGAATGCTTCGGCGAACTCATCCCACGAGATGTTGGCAGGGTCCTCATGGGAATCACTGAAACTATCCCACTAGGCACGTGTTGCACCTGTGAGTTGGTGTGTGGCAGCTCCAACACACTCATCGTCGGTGAAGGTGGTGAGGTTGAGCTTCTTTTCCACCTCCTTGAGCCAGTCATCGGCTACAAGCGAGTCAGGGTCGGTGCCATCATAGGTAGGTGGCCTCAGCTTCAGAAATCCCTCGGCTTCCTTTGGAAATCATTCTATTGTCCTCCCTGGTGACGGTTTGCTCTGTCTACAAGAGCTGCAAGAAGCTGGGTCTGTTGCGCCATCACTTCTGCCAGGTTCGGTGGTGGTGGTGGCGGAATGTTCTCCTCAACAGGTGGTGGGGTATTCTCTAGGTTGAAGGGTATCCCTCCATGTCCACGGCCATGGCCACGGCCATGGTTGTTGCCACCACGCCCCCCCATTTGGTTCAGCTGGTTCGGGGGTGGGCGCACGTCTATGGTTCATTAGGCGAGAAGATCGGTGGTTCGGCATCTGCAACCCGGATCATAGGAATTTTAGTGTTTGTGCCATAAGTGCTTATAATTCAGTATGTTTACATGATTTTGACGATTTTAAGAAAAACATTTATTCTATCCAACACTCATTACAAAGAAGCAATAAGATCCATAAGATGCAATAAGATCCAAAACATTCATTACATGGGTTTTATTACATAGCATCATCTCCAGTAGCTACACTTGAAGACTCGCGAGAATCGTACTACGCATAGTGTCTCATATTACATCTCATAAGGGGTACATCATGGGGTACAACTTATGGAAGCCACTGACATGACTCATGACCACACAGGGTCATCTACTCTAACTCGTACACCTGCAGTTGGGATACGACTATTCTCGATCTCTATCTCCTCGTTAGACTTGTGAAGTCGGGACATGTACTTCAAGGCCTCGGCGAGCTCCTTAGTAGGCTTGGCTCTAGGTAGGGTAGGGTAGGCATCTAGGTTGAGGCGAGTCGGGGCTAACTCAAACTCCTCTATCCTAGGCTTTGTCTTGCTGCGAATCTCCTTGGGTAGCTGATCCCACATACCCTTCATCTCCCTGAGACGCTTCTTGTCAGACTTCTGCCAAGCCTGCCAAGTCCTCTCACATTTGTCCTGTAGGTACTCGTTCTACCTGAGTGCCTCGATCAGGTGACCCTGGTTGCGAACAGCCTTCTTCCTGAACTCCTCTAGCTTCTGAGTCATGGTCTTGTTCTGAGATTGGATTTTCAGCATATCAATCCCCTTGGACCTCTCTCTGTCTCCTCTGCGGTTGAACTCGGCCTTCTTGTTGTCCAACTCTCTCTGTAACTCTAAGACCTTGCTGTCGAGGTAGCAGTTCCTGTCGCCTAGGTCGGCTGCTTTGTCCTGTAAGTCAGCGACCTCGGCTCTGTGGACTTCTTCACGACGGTTGAGCTCGTCCTGTAGCTTGGCAACTGTCTTAAGCAGACTAGCTCGCTCCTATGCTCCCTACGAGTCTCACTCCTGATACTCCCACAGAAGAGCTCGGTCCTGACGTCTCCTCTGCTCAAGTTGGGTCACGTACCTGTCCTGCTCTAGTAGGTGGATAGCTGAGACGCGAAGGCATCTGTCCTCCTCTGCAAAGATAACTCTGCCAGCTGCAAAACTCTGCTCACTAGGGGTAAGGCTGAGGTCGAGGGCCTGGGGAAGTAGACTGAACGCTGTTGTCTTCTGGTGCTCATGGTGGTCCTTCATCACTCTGCGAAGTGCCTTGTGTGAGACAGCTCGCAATCCCTCCTCAATTGTGTCCTCTATAGTCAACTCGGTGAAAGCTAGGATAGAAGGTAAGGTAGTGCTAGCTGGGAACTCGACTGAGGTGACAATTGGTCCTTCGATTCCTCCTTCCTGAGCTGACTTCCGGTGCAGGTGACCTTGACAAGCTCGTCAGGGACTCCTAACGTGACGAGAACTCGGCAAAGGGTCTATGCAAAACCCCCGAGCTCACATAGGTCGAAGGTAAGCTTGGCGTGGTCTAGAGGTAGCGGTCCTAGAGGCGGCCATTCGACGTTCGTTGCCATCTGCGTGTTTTAAGGAACCAGGTGCTAGCAAGTCAATAATAGATAAGCCTTGCATAAAAGTAAATGCAGGGTCGGTATATAACCGAAAGAAGGGTTGTTCACGTCCTATTCTATCGTCCATTTCTGAGGGTTTCGTCCTAGGGTCAAGTATGGCTCTGATACCAACTGAAACGATCTGATTTCCGCGAAGGAAAATCCACAGAGTCAAAGTGTATTATGACCGTTGTAGATCATATTACCCAAATTCCAGTCGAATACCACATCCATACAATGATAATATCGAGTACAAATAGTGCGGAATTACATAAATTATATATCGCCGCATTGGCGGAATCAAAAGTAGCATTCATTACAAGCGACTTGAAGACAAGATCGGCAAACTCGAGCGAGGAGCGAACCCTCAACCGTCAAACTCCTCGAGCTATACTCCTCAGCAGAACACGTGTGCCAAAATTTATCGAAGACGATTTGTCTTCGCCACTCCCACCCTATGAGCATTGCTTTGTGGAAATTTGATGCAAGTTGGATATAATCAAAAGGAACCGATAAGGCTGGGGTTGCCTATGTTTTAGCATATCAAGTATATATAATAATAGTTGGTCAAGTTTTAACACCATTCCCACACCCATTCCACCCCATTTTCGTCCAGAGCTAGGTTTCGATCCTGGGATCGATATACCACCATCACCACATCACAACCATACCATCGCTCAGTCGACAGGCCAACTCCGTCTCGGCACTATCTCATGGCCCGTAGCCCCTGGCTACGTCCGAACACTCACTCCCAGGGGGAGAAGAGAATGACTCATCTCACTATCTAGTTTAAGCGAAACCCAGGAAAGGTCCATAGTCAACAAGTCGGCATATGTATCGATCGATCAACCATACACTCTGCAGAGGTTTTACATAACCACAAGATTCGCCTTCCTCACTGACTATCATCAACTAGGCTGATTCCGGTCGCTTGCTAGCCTAGGATAATGCCACCCTACCATTCAGCCCTGGTACACCCTAAGTCTAGTCTAGGGTGGCTGAAACTGTGAGTCATGAGCCGGGTCCACAAGGTCTCCATGAATTCTCAGAAGGGTGTGGGGGGAATCCTCCGCGCCCCGTACCTCCCTCGCACTGTCCGCTATCAACCTACCAGTAGTGGCAATATCCTACCAAGTAGTCCGGCCGTCCCGCACCATATAGGGCGAGTGGTACGTAAGGCTTCCCGGTGAATCTGAGTACTAGTATGTTCTTAGGGATGATCAAGCCAGAATGTCTTCATCAGGGTTTCTATTTACCGTGCCACCACAGCACCTCCACCCTGGGCTCCTCCCATCATAGGTTCACACCCAGGGCCACCTCATATACCATTTACCCACCACAGGTATCCATTCTAGGGGTGCCCAGGTAGCACCCCATGGCAAGACTTGCCCCAGGCTCGTCGTATACTCCAACTTGGTCGACACAACCCTCACCCTTCATGCACCCAAGTCACACACGCAGCACTCTCCCCATAGTTCAGATAACATCAGTTTCCACCACGCATCAATGTAGTACAAGCGTAGTAGAAGTAATAAGCAATGAAATATAGCAGCAAGCATGTGTCTAGCCTAATAGCAGGGTAAGCAGGGGTAAAGTTACGTCAAGGTAAAGGCCATCAAGTAAGCATACTACCATACAAGTCCTATCATAGTGTGAATATAACAATAATGTAAAGCAATAGCAGTTCTATATTAGCCATGCGTAATAGGTGCTATGAGGTTGGGTGGGATGTGGCACCTTCAGTGAAGTCGTCCCTGCACTCCTCACGGTACTCACGATCCTTGTCCGTCCGGTTCTCCTCCGAGTCTGCAAACGATCGCATTATAGTCGCGTTAGCGACGTCTATAGAATAGCACAAAGAAGCAATGAAAATTCAAAAGAGCCAAATGCACTCAAACATGAGTTCATTGTGTAGAGCTCGACTTTAGATGAATTTTGTTCCTGGTCTTATATTTTTCTGAGTTCGTATGAATTAGTTATGAATTTCCAAAGATTAAATCCATTTCTGAAAATAATTAAGGCTGATTAATTCAGGGCAGACTCGTGTCACACTGTGACTGGTTCACGTGGCATGTAGGGACTTGGAGTGGTGTATCAGCTGGTGAGGTGGTCGGAAAGGTCGCCGAGGTGGTCGGAAAGGTCGCCGCGGTGGTCGGAGAGATCGCCGAGGTGGTCGAAAAGGTCGCTGAGGTGGTCGGAGAGCTCGCCGAGGTGGTCGGCGAGATCGCCGAAGTGGTCGGAGAGATCACCGAGGTGGTGGGAGAGATTGCCGAGGTGGTCGGAGAGATGGCCGAGGTGGTCGGAGAGATCGCCGAGGTGGTCGGAGAGATCGCCGAAGTGGTCGGAGAGCTCGCCGAGGTCCCCGACGCTGGCGTGGTCTCATCTTGACATGACGTCAGCATGGCGTCATTAGGGCTAAACAGCGGCTGACAGGTGGGGTCCCACTGACGTCAGCATGACGTCATCATCTCGGTTGGTCACTGACAGGTGGGTCCAAGGTCAAATGGTGACTGACAGGTGAGGCGCGATTCATGGTGAACCCGCCTGCGTTGGTCCATAGACCGCAGAGCCGGTCTATGAAGGACTTGGTCCACTTACTCCTTCTGAGGGTTCGGTTCACGTGCACCAAGTGCACGGACGTGTGGCCGGCGAGGGGAAAATCCCCATCTTCTTCCCCGGCGTGCTCCCGCCGGTGGTGAGCTTCTCGCCGGCCGAGCACACCGTCGACGGCCGCAGGCACGACATGGAGCTGCACCTGGTGCACGAGAGCGCCGCGAACAAGGCCGCGGTGATCGCCGTCCTCTACGAGGTCGGTCGCCACGACGACGCGTTCCTCCGCCACTTGGAGCCCTTCATCCGGCGGATCGCGGACGTGCGGGACAGGGAGGAGCGCGTCGGCTTGGTCAACCCGTGGCGTGCGCGCGGCAGCGCCAGTGTCTACTACCGCTACATGGGCTCCCTCACCGCGCCGCCCTACACCGAGGGGGTCATCTGGACCATCGTCAAGAGGGTACGCTTTTGAATTGGCGCATCACTCATCATTTGATCAAGGGCTCGTGTATTATAACACACACTCGCGTTAGTTGGTTGGTTGGTCGCGTCACGATCATATGATGCATATTTGTATATCACTCCTATGCACTGTATTCTTTTCTGTCGGCTTGGCTTGGGTTTGCTGAGCAAATTTTTAGTACTGGTTCCAACTTCTTTTCAAGCGTTTTTGTCTATTTTCTGCAGGTTCGCACCGTGTCCAAGTACCAGTTGGAGCTTCTCAGGGAAGCCGTGCACGACGTAAGTCCATCGGTCTCGCTAACTGCTTGTTAATTTCCACACGCGTTATGAGTTTGCTCGTACTTTTGCCTCTGTTTTTCTACTGGAGTGGAAAGTAAATATGTCGCTGCCACTGCACGTCCCCGTACCTGTTGTTCAAACTCAAACATGGCTGGAACCAAAAGCAATATGAACGTATAGTGTGTACGCTGGTTTTGGTTTTTGTCGGCCTGACCAAATCGGCAGTTGAATCGGCAGTGATAGGCAAACCTCATCAATGCCACTTTCCCAGTGACGAGGGTTTAGACCCGGCGGTGAAACCATATTATGGGATAGTGATTGCTCAACATTTTTTGACACAAAAGCTTGTTAAACCGACTTTTTTCTTACTTTGAGTGTCCATGAAACCTAGACTCAGAAAGAGTTGAGATGTACCCGAACCTGAACCTGGTTGAATTCCAAGGAGACCTGAGATATAGGTTGGCCGTCTTGACGTACCGTGCACTTTTAACGGTGACTTAAAGTAACTGAATGAATTTACAAAGGCCTAGGGCATTTTATTTGGCCGTTTTGACATATCATGCATCTTTAACGATGACTTAAAAGTAACTGAACTTACTTGAAGATATATAATAAGCGAGGAAAAAATTAAAGTATAATGACGACATCAAAGACGCCATGGAATTTTCTCAACTAAGAACTGATTGTCCAGGCCTAGCACAAGCAAATCATGCATCCTAGAATGGGCCCCAGCAATAGGCGGTCGCGCTAAAAATATTGTTGCCGCTTCAGGACCAAAAATGTCATTGAATATTTGAATACATGTCCTGTCAAACTGAACATGTCTCTACTCGGGCATACGGAAACATTTGAAAAGAGCAAGTGTAGCTTGCACACCACCACTTTAGCCCGTGTCCGCCCTGCGCCCTCCGCCGAGGGGGGAAAGAAGAAATATGGTCGGACCAGACGTCATTGTAATATATGAGGACGAAGTCCTACATGAAAGTTGGAACTAATACACACCCAAGAGGCCGGGAACTGAACCAATCTGAACGTCATGAACATTTTGTTTTGAACTGGTAGCGTACGACTGCCCATACACACGGATCAGTAGCAAAGGGCTCCAGAAAAATTCGGTAGTTCACATTGCGTAGATCATAACCGGTGGGACCATAGTAGGACGATGCAGTCCTACACGTGAAGCTATTCTTTTTTTTCCTGTACATACAGTATACACTCCTATACGTGTACCGTACATCACCCGCTCCTATAAATACACGTATATATACTTCATACCGATAGCTATAAACACCTCTAAAAAAATAGATTGGCACATCTTAAAATTGATAAAGTTATTATAAACATATTACACCTGGCACTTGGACTAAATAATTAAACCACATATACGAGTAAGTCCACAAAGAAGGCTTCGCAGTGTACGGTGAGGTCGACTCTAGGAAGCTTACGTCTTCTGAATTCACGCGCTACGGATGCCCTTATAACTATCTAAGTCGTACACTCCATTTTTACGAAGTTATAACTCATGCTCCATTAGTTCAAAAATAAGTGTGGTTCTAACCAAATATATACAAAAAATATTAATATTATAATACATCATTAGTATCATTAGATACATAGTTGAATTTATTTTATAATAAATTTATTTAGTGGATACAAATGTTGATAATTTTTTTTTACAAATTCAATCCAACTTAATAAATTTTAATAAGCACAAACACCGTAACAATACTTATTTTGTGACGGAGGGAGTAAGCAGTCGTGCCGACCTATCGACCTGGTAAGTGATGCCGACTATCACCTACCGAACGATCAGCGCTCTTTCATAAAACTAATCTCCTACAACTAAAAAGAACAAAGTGTGGATATTTTTTAGCGTGACATTGGTTTTGGTTCGCCTATCTGCCTCCTGATCCTGACGCCATCCCGTGAAACTTTCCACACCACCGTGAAACTTTCCTTCCGCGCAATCACCATAGTCCCGGATGAAAAAGAATCACCATAGCCTGCCGCTCGCCCACGATGCGCAATCATCTTCACCCGCGCCTGCCTTCCTGCGATAGCCCACGCCGCCGCACCCTCGCGCCTCCGTCGCTCCACCCCTCCCCTGCGATCCCCGCCTCCCGTCCGCGCGTCGCTCTGAAAACGGAAAGCCGCTCGCTCCGTGGCCCTCGCTCCGTCCGATTTCCGTCCGCTCCTCCGAGCCATCCCTCAGCTCCATCGGTCTGCCTCCCACCGCCCCACGCCTTTCGCCGATGCATCGCCATCCCCACCCAGCGCGCCGTGTTCTTCCGTTGATCCTCCGCTCCAACACCCCTCCGTGCTTTCCTTCCTCCCCACCCGATTCGCGGCTCGCCCACGATGCGCGTTCATCTTCACCCGCGCCTGCGCGCTGCGCCGCTGCAGATCGCGGCGGCGCGCAGCCTCGCGATGGCGCGCCTCCCGTCCGCGCGTCGAGGTGGAGGAGGACCTCAACGCTGGCAAGCCCTAGCGGCGCATTTCCGCTGCCGCCGCCACGTGAGCTCCTCCGGTGCGAGCAGATCCACGCGCCGACGCACCCACTCCCTCTCGCGTCTCCGTGTCCTCAGGTCGCTCGCAAGCCCTACCGCTTCAGCCTAGACGCCGGCGTGCGCGAACCCTCCGGCACGAGCAGATCCAGGTATTGTCGTTTCTCCCTTCCTCGCGCCTCCATGTCTGCATCCTCAGGATGCCCGCCCTCAGTCGCGTCGCTGCTGCACTCAGTCGCCATCGTCTCGCTGCGCCTCAGCACAGCAGCAGCCGGTGTGCCGGATCTAGTGCCGCGTCGCACGAGCCGACCGGAAGCCCGTTCCCCATCGCACCGGAGCTCGGATCCGGCGAATCAAGCAGCGCGGCCAGGCGCGCGCATTCGGTCGCTGAGTCGCTGGAGCTTCGCTGCGCTGTCACCTCGCCGTCGTCGCCGGCCGCTCGAGCTTCCCGCGCCGGCCCACGCTTCCACCCCCCAGCGGTTCCCCTAGTCACGGAGAACCAACGCCCCAACGCCGCCGCCGTCCTCATCCGCTGCCCCCGTCGTCGCCCTTACCCCGCTAGGATCTTCACCCTGTGCTGCTTCCCGCACGCCATCCTCTGCGTCGCGCGGGCGTCCTCCTTCAGCCACTTCCCTACCGCCGCACACTGCCCCGTCCGGTGCCTCCCCATCTCTTCCCCCACGCGCCTCCATCCACCAAGCCGGCAACCACCTCGCCACCTCCACTCGCCATCCACCGAGGACAAGAAGAGCAGAGGACGCCAAATCTGACCATGCCTCGCCTACTTCTCCCTTACCGGCACGGCGAGTGGGCCGGCTCCGACTGTGGCCGCGTCTGTGGTGGCCTTCGTCCGTCCATTCGTGTGAGTACGACCTTTCTGTGCTCTTGTGATTTTGCCTCCAATTGTATGGAAGTTACAACAGTATGGACCACTGCTTGTGTAATGCAATGCAGCATAGATCTTTGCCAAGTTTGCATCTCCCTTACTTCCTCTGCTTGTTACATTTGTTGTTCAGTGGGCACATCTTTCTGTGTCCAAATATATATTTAACTGATGCAATCCATACCAAAGGGTACTGTTTGCTTGAGATTAGGAAGTTATTGGGCTGCATATGCATGGTCTGTCACTAAATACTTGCAAAATATCTCTGTAGTGATTGTGCTACTACTTGCACTGCTCAATTTACACCTAATATTGCCACCCTTTCAAAATAGGTGCAGAGTTCTAATTGTCGGTGTAGTTACCTCACTTAATAGAATTTTTAACAATGTCCTTGCAGGTTGTCGATACAGTTGATTAGGGACTGAAGCACTGCTGAATGTAAACCTGTTCGCACAGTTCACTTATCACCTCATTTTAAATAAGTATACTAATGAACCACCATGTTGTATCATTGACAGGTGATTCGACAGTCTCAACTGTTTTGAGAAACTTGGGTGTGGGATTATAGCATTCTCTATTGGCTTACAAAGCTACCATATGTTGAATCAGCAAGGTTCAGGTAGGTTACCAAATAACTATTTCTTAGATGGATTATATTAGCTTTATGAGATATATAGAGGCTTCCTGTATTATAACCATTACCACTTGGCTTTACTTGTATATATGTCAGTTACACACTCTTATTTGACATATATAGTTATTGCAGTCTTAGATCAACTATAAATTTGTTCAATCACCGGAAGAGACATCTACGCAGTATAAGGCTTTATGAGATAGAACTTCCAATTGGTTCTATGTCCACCTGTTTGAATTTATTAGTTGTAGTTTGAATTTATTAGATGTAGAGATAAGTCATAATTTGTCCTCTTCTTGGGTAACGCTTCAGTTTGTGCTTTGAATAATGGTTTCATAATTTGAGTGGAACTGTAGTGCTATATCTCGGTTTCATGTGGTATGACGAATTTATATTCTGTGTTGTTTTGAAATCTGCAGGTTAGATCTAGCTAAGCTAAGATAGTAGTATGCCAATTAGTAGGTTAGATTTCAGCAGTCATCACGTGTTGTTCACTGGTGCTTATTGGAAATGGGCAGCACTTGTTCTTTAATTGCCTTTATCTTACCTTAACATGGCTACAACCTACAAGAATTCTCATGTCAGCAAGGTGTACATCAACTGAAATTAACATAAGAGCTCTTTGGTTTATGATTAACTAAAGCACTTAGATGAATATAAAAGAATTCAGTAAGTACCTGAATGGTTTCAGACTAGCACTTAAATTAACATAAAATCGAGTTTATTTATGTCTTTCATATCACTACACAGTACATAATTTAGTTCATTTATATGCCTTCATCTAAAACATTTTTTTAGATGAAATGAATGTTTTTTACATAACTGTGCACTCCATCTTACTATATTGCAAGTACCTGTAACATTCTATTATAGCTGTTTTGATGCCTGGTCTGTTTCTTAATTGTTACTATCTTCTTAGCTATGACTTGTCCTTCTTAATTATTACTATCTCCAGTGTTTTCGATTTTAATATGGTTGTTCAGTGTTTCTGATTCAGAGACGGCTGCCTAATGGAAATGCTATCATGATTTTCTACATCAGCAACCAGCGCTTGGTTTGGTTCTGCACGAATGGTTAGGGATGGGTTAATTATACAGTATGTGCTTGTCCAGGATTTGTGTGGGTTCAGTTCGGATCCTTTCTCACTAACA